CGCAGCACCACCGTGCTCTGCAGCAGTTCTGCTGGCCCTGCAGTGTGGCTCCTGCCAGGAAGAGGCTCACACTTGGGGATCAGCCTGTTTCCCCTCGACAAGGTTGCTCCCCACCGAGTGGCCGGGCAGGGCCAGATGCCACCAGCAGAGCTCCTGTTGGGGGCAGGGAGAGGGGTTACCCCCCACTCTGCCTTCAGAGCACTGCAACTGGGTTTGCCCGGCCTGGCCACAGATGCCACTCGGTCTGTGCTTGGGGCAGGGTAGTGGAATAAACCCCCTCCTGCCTGGATGGGGCTGACCGCGAGTTTGTCCTTGTTCAAAACTGAAGTGCTCCTTGACATTAAAATTGTAGTAACTGCATAAATAGGCCTTTAAATACATGCTACATGCATGTTAAGAAGTAGAGCTATAAACCCTTCCCAAATTACCTAATTACCTTCCCAAATAGCCTAGCTCAGATATGAGCATTCCCACAGCTAAGTTCTTCTTGAGTTAGTGCACTCAGCTGTGCATTTCGGGGGGCAGGGTATATTCCATGATAGTTCGGGCTGATACTTCAAACAACCTTTGTATCAACTGCAGGAGAATGCAGAATCAACTGCAGAAGAACCTTTTACAGGGAAGTTACAGGACTAGCAAAGGAGAATTGGTACTCTAGAAATGTAGCCTACGTTCTCAATGCAAAGTGGGTCAGTTTCAGCCTGAGGGGAAGAAAACCTGAGTTCTAAACCATTTTAACCCACTCCAGGCTTAAAACACCTCCAAACCATGGTGAGTTTCTATTTGAGGGGCTTACTAGTGTAAGGTTAAAACCTGGGTTAACCCTAGACCTGTGCATTGTGGTTTCTTCATCAATATGATATCAGCAAGACATTGTCATGCCTAGAACTCACCACAATACAAATATTATCTCTACGATATGCTGATCCACTGAAGTTAAGTCAATCTGCATTTCAACTATAAAGCAGTTTTAAGATCTTCACAATCAAAGCTTTACACACAGAGACACACACTTTAGGATGAAATAAGTTTCAGTATCTTGTCCATGAAAGAAAGAAATTGTCATTTTATGTGGCAATGATGAACAATTAAGTTAATGATGTACTAATAAACATTGGATACTGGTTTTATAATCCTGCAATGCAGTCTTAAAAAAAATGAATGCAATGCTCAAATGTCATATACATACATGAAGCTACATAAACTTAATAATTATACTCATAGCATTGAATTGCAGCCTGTATAAATTGAATATTTACTAAGAAAGAACAACACTACTGCTCTGGCTCATAGTAAGTAAGCAAGTGAAATAATCTGAGAAAAAAGTATTAATTCACAAGGTATTTACAGGAAGTGAATTAAAATGCATTGTTAATGTATGTACCTCCTCATATTTCAATATTTCTGTGATACTGATCAACTAAAGACTGACTGACACTTTCCCATGTAACCAGATATGATTTTACACTTTCAGGGCATGATGATACTAGTACATTACATGCACATCTTAACCATGTAGGCTGGATACTTCATGCAAATCAGAAAGTTTAATATGGGTGAAAGATGAGGGATGGAAAACACTGTTAACTGCAGTTCTCAATACAGCCACACAACAAGCACATTGCCATCCATGTATGTATACATGCACACCTTACCTCAAAACAATCTTACTTGCAAAAGGACAACTAAAAAAGCCCATCTTTGAGGAATTTTAAAAAAGTATATATCCACTAAAGCTTGAATGTCTTCCAAACCCAAATATTATTCCCGACTCAAGTCACTGAACCAGAGAGTTTCAATTCCTTTCAACTTTACATAAGATATCTCAATATTGGCTGATGTCATGTATGATGCAAGGAGGCCCTGTTACACTGAACTTTTTCCCCTACCCACATGGGAAATAAAAGCCATTTTGATCTCCTGCCATCTCAACACTGATCAAACATCTGCAATTTTACTACAGTGAGTACACAGGAGGTGACATAAGTTTTGGTATAATGCAAATGTCTAAATCTTTTTTAGCCAGAATCCAGAAAGACCCTCCAAAGGCTGCTCTAAGGGGATCATATAAAGAAACTAAGGAAGAAGTGAAATAGAAAATCCACAAGCACATACTGAACAAAATAGGTGAAGCTGAAGAAAGGTGAAAGCCATGCCTTTTTTTTTTTTTTATAAAGCTTACTCTGACAATTGCAATTAATTACCATAAGATGGAATTCATTGCATACTGTAACACTTTTAGACGATAAAGCACAAATCAAATGCAACATTAAGCAAAGAGTTCCAATGGCAGAATGAAGAATATTTAACTCTAGATTCTTTAGAGCTAAAACACCTTACAAAATTTACTTAGCGAACCATCCTTTAGCACAATGTGGCAGAAAAGACAGATGCCATGGGGTTTGCGTACAGGATTTAATTACAGGTAATAGTTACAGACTAATTAACAAAAGGATAGCTGCTGAATTAGGGTTTTTTTTGTTTTCATTAAATAAGGACACGGTAATAATCAGGAAAACAAAAAGACTTCTAGTTTACTGGTTCAAAATCCTATGCTCCTTTTACTCCACTCATACATCCTGATTATTCTTTCCCTTAGAAACCTTCTCTTCTTACTTCTCTCTGTGTTATCTCTTCTTCTTCCAAAAGTTGTATTTATGTACACCAAAAATCTCTCTCTTCATTCAAATCTTTCCTCAAAGGAAAATCCTTCTTTCAATAACAATCAACTGTATCATATTTACTTGAATATGAGATGAGATTTATTTCCCCCCTTGGCAAGGACAAACATGCTGATGGGAACCTACCACAAGGACAGGTTAGTGCAGTCCATCTAAATAAGATGATAGTGTCCATTAAGTGGAGTTCCCTTCGCTGCTGACTCTTTCAAGTCACGGAGAGCCACCACACTACATATATTTCAATTTCCTCTTTACTCTTGCAGCTGAGCAGTGCCTTTTTTACCCAGTGATGGGGATTCCAATGATTCCTGTTTCTTCACTAACCTTAAATGCCTAGCAAACATCACAAAACAGGGCCCAAATGATTCATCCATAATCCCTCTCTCGTCCTCTCTCTCAATGCAGCACTTAGGATTAGTGTGACCTCACCCTCCATGAGGTCAAGCCAGACCAGGTTGCCCTGTGTCTCATCTTCATATAAATTTTTGGATCATCCTGGGACTTGGGACAAAAACACCCAGTTCCAGTCATGAGGGGGCTAATTAACACATGAATCCTTTGGGGGTTAGTATCTGGAGTACACATACATACTGAGCGCTATAGCTTGACATGCTTTTGATTCTGGTAGGGTCTAGCCCAATGACCTTTGTGGTAAATCACAAACCTTTGGCTTTGCACTACATAGAGATGGTTTTGTGTGACTGTAACAGTCAAAGGAGATGACGGGCATGCGGGCATACAGTAGTGGTTATTCTAACAGGGATGATGATGGTTAACTGTAGATGCACATTATGGACTGTCAAGTGAACAGTGTCGGTCACAAGACAGGACAGTAAAAGTACAGATAAACACACAGCTAGATAGATAGCTAGACAGATATACATCTATTTCTATCTAGCTAGCTGTCTATGAAGAGAGACAGAGAGAGAGAAAATACATATTTATGCAAAAAAAAAAAAAGTTTGTACTACATATAAGTAAGTGCCAAAGTCCTGATCAAAAGTGTTTATGGATTACCTGTTCTAAAACTTGCCAGTTTCAAAAAACAGCAACATGCATCAATTCTGGATGAACTAAAGTATATACTATATACAAATTGTTACAGCCAAGTTTAATTTCAAGGTTATTGTTTTCAAATTTGCTCCTCACTTCAATGTGCTCAGGGAGAGCAGGGTCTGACTGCAGAGGGAGAAGGGGCTGCCAAGGGAAAAAGTTGGGGGAAGTAGAGAGCCAACAAGCCACTCCCCGTAATTTTTCCCCCTGCTGTAGTAGTATAGGAAGGAGACAAATTCAAGGCAAACCTTCAATAATATATCTGGAAAATTATAACAAATGTATACATTTTCCATATATAGAATCTAATTACTGGGAAGGTTGCCTTATGATCATGACTGTCTTCTATTTGAGTAAATACAGTATTCAATGAGGTTCTTTGTAAGGAGTGAGATCATGACAAGATGAATCAAATGAGATGATATTTGAACTGTAAGCCATTTGGAGCAGGGCCATTTCTCTGTGTATCGGCAACACTAAATCAAGTAATAAAAATGCAGCCCAGGTTAATAACAGTTGAAAGTCATAGGTCTACACACAGTGGCCTACCTGAATTGAGTTGGGTGACTTACATCAGAAACCTAATGGATAGTTGCCCAAATCATCATTTACATTAACTGATACTCTTCAAAAGACATGAGCAATGGGACCATGTTCTGAATTGTTGTGACTACAGAGTGAGCCACAAAATGGTTCCAGGGTGCCAGGAACTAGATACAGCGGCACAGAGGTGACTTTAAAGAAAGGTACATTACTATTTTCTGAGCTGAATAATGTGAATAGTATTCTGGAATGAAGGGCCCTTCTGCAGGAATGGCAATGAAATTAAGCCACAGTATGGTGAACATATATTAACACTGGTAGGACTAGGGTTACAGCAAAATCTCACACAGATGCTTTTACCAGTAATTTGTATCATTTAAGGGCACCTTAAGTTTTAGAATGAAACTGTCGCTGAACAGAAAAGACTTGGTGTTGATAGGCTATATGAAAAAAAAGCACTGAGGAGATGCTTGACTTTATATACGAAGGGGCATGGACTTTTTCCCAGAATCTTGAATCACAGACCATATTTTTGCCTTTTGTTACTGTAGTAGCACTTAATACAATGGAAGCTTGACCCGCAACTGTAAACTCTAGGTACCACCATGACATAAAAAACAAACAAACATATTCTAGCAAGAGGCAGAGGAGGAAAGTGGGCAGGGGGAGGAAGAAGGGTGGAAAGAAACTTTTCCTCCAGGAAAATAATAAATAATTTCATACCTCTAACACCTCTGGGAGAAGTGGATTTTTCTGTTTATCACTTCTTAAACTTGTGGTTTCATTTTTCTTATCCTCAAAGCTGAAAAGCAAAAAATAAAATTGTTTTCACAGTTTTATATATCTTCCTTATTTCGAGCTACTTGCCAAAGTATAGCATCATGCAATTCAAAGGCAAAACTGGATCATCTCTTAAAGAAGACATGTTGTACGTAGTTATGCTTTCAAAAAATTGACAAAGGAAGACCTACAAAAACCTGACAATGCTTCAGTTGAAAAGGCATACTATACAAATAGATGAAACAGAAATACAGATGCTACATTACATAAAAAACAAATAAAGTTGCAAAGTTAAATGTTCAGAAGTAGGACATGTCATAATTAAAGTCACTAATATAATCTTAATTAAGACCTCCTATACATTATTTTCTGCCAACAAGTGGAGTCCTGTAGAAGTACAGAGGATTCCTGCTCTTCTTAATGTCCATTGCAACAACAATATCTGGCCATCAGAAGGAACAATTTCAGGAAAAAACAACTCCATACTTGCTATCATGGGGCTGGAGCTTAGCTGACTGCTCTGCACATATGAGAAGTATATGCTGGTTGGCACAATGAAGTTAAAGAGGTGGATGGAGCACCTATAAGTGCAGGTGGAAGTGCTAAGATATTCTCGAAAAATTCTTGCAATCAATTTATTAACTGGGCACTTATTGTCCTCTAATATTGTTCTTGGAAATGGAAGAGCATTTATACTAAAACTAGATTTAATAGGAGTCATGTTGTGGGAGACACCCTATAGGGAAAAAATTCAACTCAAGCCACTAAAGCCAGGGGTCAGCAACCTACAGCCCAATGGCCAGAATTGGTCCAGGAAGCTCAGACATCAGTGGCAATTCAGTGGCAGGGGAATTCGGAGGCATTTGCTGGGTCACACGCGCAGTGGCAGCCATGTCAGAAGCCTCAGCTTGCCTTGGACCAAACTGCATTATTTCATCCCGCTGTGCCTACAAAGGTGTTGACTGCTGGCTTAAACTGTAAACAGATGAAAGCAATTTTAAAAGGAGAAGTATCAGGTAACATCATCTGCAACCACAACTACATATAATAGGGTGACAGATACATCCTGCCTAATCTCAGGCTTACCATTTCCACTCTGCATGCTGAGAAGAAAAGTAGTATGTGCTGGCATTTTTACAAGTATGTGCAGGGGGGAGGGAGAATGTTTTACATTAAGACATCCTGTATTTAAAGAAACACTCTGTGTTGCAATAAGATCATACAATCTGACAAAAAGAAACTGGTCCAGTTATATTCAAATGCACCAAAGTTAAATGCATGTATGTATGCCACTTCATGGTTCTTTATTGAGTATAAAAAAAATTACTGAAAAGCTGCTTCTAAATAAAAGGGAAACATGCCTTCTGCTTATTTTTAGTTTAGAAATAATCTGACTGGATTTGTTGGAGAGAAAAAAAAGTGAGCCAGGAGCTCTCAGGGTTTGACCAGGGTTGTATGTATAAAGAATTCAAAAGATCTTTTCTCCCGAGTGTTTTTCAGAAGTTTTAAATATGCATTAATGAAGGCAGGGAAAAAAACCTAAACAAATTGTAAAGTAGCCTGACCAGAAGTCCCTTTCCCTCATAATTGGATAAAAACAGGAGCAGCTATTTCTAACATTTAAAAAAAATACATATATTTTAAGTTTTAGTTTTATACACCAGAAACAGAAACTGGCGTTTCTTTCCTCAATTTTACAGATAACATTTAAGTTCAGAAATGACTGCAACTGAATCTTTATGAACAGCATTTTAAAATGTGTTTAAAAGTACTTGGATATCTTTAAACCTGATCTAGTCATTGACAAAAGAATAAAAGAGCCAGTCCACACTGCTACCTCTCTTTTAAAAGGTTGATGGGTCAAAACAATAGCCTATAAATTCCTTGTCTATTCTTGAAAGTGTTCAATAAAAGAAATTCTACAATCTCTTCTGTGTTGTATGTCACGCTACTAGAAGCACTTTCTTACTTTTCCCCTTTTAGTGAAAAAAAAACTACTCTCAGAATTGCATGGCTTATCCTGATGGTGACATGCCTAACATCAGCTGGAGTTCCATGCAAACTGAAAAAGAGATGAAGAATGGCACTGATATCCACCCTGAGTTTCTCCCCTTTGCCATAGGATGTTGCATCTTAAGGAACCTATCTTCACTACTTTGAAAAATCTCATCCTGGCTTTTGTCAAGTATCACAGTTACTTAAAGACCATTAGAATGCCAACCATTCATTTCTCCTTTTTCTTTTAGTGTCTCTTTTATATGACATGTTTTCTAAGCCTTCTATAACTTCATTGCCTTCTCTTACGGGTTGTCTTTAGTTTTTTTAAGTATAATACTGACACACAGCAGCTTTATTATGGCCCAACGGACAGTTCAGCTTACTCTGAAATACAGTCAGAGATGAAATGATAATAGGTGAACACAAGAGAACAGACAGAATTTTACTAACATAAAAACAAACAAACTAACTTGCCTATTTGACTCCCCATCCCCATACAAATGTTTCCATGCTACTGAACTTTTTTGCTTTATTTAGTAAACAACACTGTTCTTAAAGGTCCTTGATGCATAACAAGTTGAGTCATATAATGCAAATAAAGAAATAAAGCTTAAGCCCCAAAATTCTCTACAGAAGACATGGCTCTTGGATTGTTTAGAATAAGACTTCATTGTTTTGTTTTCTTTACTTGAGACTACCTTGCAGAGCAGAGACCAGTACGTATATCTTAGCTGGTGTTAAATCTTTTATTTTGGGAATAGGCCAGCTATTGCTGAAGGTTCTTGATGATCTAGGTCATCATTCTTCTATTAAAGAAAATGAAACATGGAATGAATTTTATCCACGAATGTTATGCAACTGAGGGACCTGCAAATACTAGAACACGTTAAAATATTTTTCAAAGCAGAAAAAACAAAAAAATGGAAAAGGACATTAAGCTGTACTTTAAAAGGAAGTATAAATCTATATGATGCTAAAACATAGGTGAGCTAATGGAACTGCACCACTCCTTTTGTCATAACAGGTCATCTTCTACACACAACCAGTAAAACATACTAGATGCGTGCATACAAGAGGGTTTCATTCAAGATTTATGGAGAATAAAGTAATAATATAAAGTCTGTTATAACATTTTTAGGCAGTTACATAAAAATATGCTCCAAAATACTAAACTAAAACTATCCAGTTCAGTTTTTCAAGCAGCAGTAAAATTCCTATATTTTATTCCTGCACTGATAGTCTGAGTAAACACTAGCTACATTTTATCACTCTCATAAATACATGTTCTAAGCTTCCATTGTTTAAAATAGTAGCAGAGAATGTTCTGTAGGATATTTTTTGTCAAAATAATGAATCCCTGAGCAATGTAGATACCCCTGAGATACCATGCAGCACTCACCTATTATACTGTTGTTAAAAGGGAAGACATATGGCAACTGACAGCATGTGTAGGTTCATCAAGATGACTGGTCTTTTTTCACATTTAGAAGACTTCAGTCTTACTGAAAGTTCACCTCAGATAGGCGTGCATAAGCAACTACTCAATTCTTTTCTTACATGATGAGTTAAGAGTTAACTTTACAAGGTGCTGAGCGCTCTGTTCCACTTCGGCAAAGCCCTTTAAAGAAGATGCCAAACTTTATCGACATGAGTATTCCTACTGAAGTCAAATGGAGTATTCCTATGCTTAAAGTGCTTTGGTGGATCAACCCCAGCAAACAGAACAATTTCAGCACTTCCACTTACTAGTCCACGAGATGTGATCCTTTTAATGAGACACGGCTTGTAGACCATGCTTTTGTTATATTTGGAGGCTCACTGACAAGACCATCTCTTAACAAGAGTCAAATAGCTGAGCACCTACTACGTTGCCATCCAATGCCTATACATGGCAGAGAGGATGTGTGATGTTTTAAGCAATTCTATACTCAAGTGACACGAGCTGCTATCAGAAACGCAGAAGGTCTAGATGGCTGGTGAGAATAATCACTCCCAAACTGCATCGTTGGCATCTCACCAAGGGACTTGATTATGAGCCATTCACTAATACTCACAACTCTATATACTACATATTAACCCCATTGTACAGAAAAACCAAGAACAAAGAGATTAACTAACTTGTCCGAAGTCACAAATTCAGTGATTGAACCAAGACTAGAATCCAAGTCTCCAAGTCACGGACACAACCTATGATTTCACATTGACTTTCTATTGTTATTGTCACTAACCATGATGGTCCAGGAATATGTGAAAAGTAAGATGTGTGGGTGGGGTCAGTTAATATACTATATTAGGTTAACTTTATGATTGGGAGAGACATCAGACAAAACGTTCGTCTTCAGGTTTGAGGGAAAGGCATTGTATACCCCAAAATTTATCTAACAATCTCTCCCACCTGAAAGTTAATTTAACCATCAGCACAACCAGATGACTAACCACCAGCTAAAAAAAGCAGGAATTTCCCTTCCTAACACTACCCTGCTGCTGTTACCTCCTGTTTTGCCAATGTGTATTTTGTTAATCTCCATCATTCTTGCTATTTAAACAGTTGAATAAATTTGAGCAACAGTATAGTCCACTGTATATGTTCAGCCTAAGCCTTTGTTTATATAATATTCTAATGCTCTCCATTCCTCTAGTGTTGAAAAATTCCTTGAAAACTGGGACAAGTGGCACTTGAACCAGAAGCAGCTTTTTCAACCAATATTTTAATCAATGTACTTGTACAAGGAGGGATGGATAGAGATTATTACTCAGGAAATGAATGTTCATTTTAAATAGTGCTACTTACAGACAGACAAAACTATGTACAAAGAAGAAGCAGATAAGCAGAAGTACTCAAATCTAGATCAGCTAAAATACATAAGGGATTATGGTTTAAGAACCTGCACAAAGGAGCAAGTTGGACTACATGACTTAAATGGTCTTTTCCAACTTTCTCTGTAAAGGCAGAGCAGATAAAACTATAAACAATTAAATCTTCAAAGGCTACTGAAATTATTTGTGTGTGTGTACACACACACA